TTTTAGTTTACTGTAAATTCAATTAATTCTCGATAAGCCAGCTTATTTTTTTGTGAAGAAGGATAGAAGTTATTTTTTTCCCTGCATTTTGAAAAATGATTAACATTAGGAACTACATGAAGTGGAGCACTTTCAAAGTTACGAGATCCAGGCATCAATAAAAGGCATGATTTGCAAACTTTGAAAACAGATACATAATGGCAATGTAACATGAAACATCACGATAGGCAATTTAAGTTTTTTATATGCTGTACCTGTAATTTGTCTCTCTTTATTGGCTAACAAAATAAAGAACCTGATGTTTTATTTTAATATTTAAGACCTAAAATAATGTGTCAGCTTTATTTAAATGAAAACAGATTGATGTGTACACGGACAAATTTAAGCCAGTGCGCAATACCTAGTTTGTTCAATTCTAGGATTTTTTTTTAAGAGAAAACAGATTGATGTGTACATGGACACATCTTTATGTGCCTTCCTGGCACCGATCTGGGCGTCAAAAAAGAATCGCAAAAAAACAAGGGGCACCCAATTGTAAACTTGTACCAAAACTTTTATAGGATACAAGATGAATATACCTTAAAACTAACACGGAAATGTTACATATCTTCTGTATTTTTTAAAAGTTAAAAAAAATAACGTCATGCTATGTATACATTTAATGTTTTTAATTAATGCATTTTTATTTAACTGAATCAGATTCAAAAGTAAAAAAATATAATAATAATATTTTGAAGAACTGCATCTGCTGCTTTCAAATAGCTTAGTTTGTTAATCAATAACAAATTAATTCAAATTAGATTAAATTTGAAAAAATCTTACAATTAGAATTTGAAATATTTTATATTTTCCTGAAGAGCTTTTCTTATATTTTGCTGAAGACTTGAATGAAAAATGAAGCAACGCAAAACCATGTTTCGTGACTAATAGCCTTCTTAGGCTAATAAATTGTTCTGAAATGCACATACATTTCTCACTCATGGTTGTACCTGCAATGTTCTGTTGGGTCATATGGATAGTTCTGGGGCTTTCAAATTAAAGCTGATTTTCAACTAAATATTTTGTTACTGCTGATAATGAGTAGCCTTGATCGAAGCAGATGCTAAAATAGAGCTTTTTTTCCGCTCACACTGCAAAATTCTAGTATGTACTGTGGCATGATTTTTGTTTCAGTAACGTTCTAAGAACAGACAATTCAAAAGCTTATTTTTGTAAAATTACGCTGTTTTATTAAGAAAAAAAGAAAAAATGCTAGCCAGACTGCTGATAAAATCGGTGCTATATATGGAAAAACTGCTGTTTCTGATGACACAGTTTGAAGCTGATTTGAGAAGTTAAACTGCAGAAATTTCAGACTTGAAAATGACGCCCACTCTGGATGACCATCCTCTGTAAACAAGGACTTAAAGGAAGGTACACTGAATATCCACATCATACAGTTTAGAAGTTATCAGTTGAGATTCATATTCCAAAAAAGTACAGTATATATGGTCTTTTGATGAAGACCAGGCATGTAAACTGTTATTATGCATGGGTACCCCATACTTTTAGTAGAACAAAGTATGCTTGCTCAAGTCTCAGCATGTGATTCTTTGCTGAAAAGAAATAAAGCCCCCCCTTTTTTTTTTAAAAAAAAAAGGACTCATTAATGGAGATGAGAAATAGATACCATACAATAACACTACAAGAAAAATGTCACGGGATAAGCTAAAAGAACCTCCTCAAGGAACACCAAGAGGGAGGCTGGATTTCAAAATAATAATAATACTTTGTGTATGGTAGAACTACAAAATAAATACATCCTACTAGTTGCTACCAAATTAATCAATCAATTCAAAAAAATCTTGCGCAGATGTTTTTAAAAACAGAAATCAAAGCAAAGCACAAAGAACTGACCAAACATTGAGGTATGGACTTCCATCGTAAAGCCTGGCCCCACTTTTTGGCAATGTCAGACAAAGATTTACTATGTACATCTGAGATATTATATGGCATCTCCATTTTCATTGGATTTTGTCCTCTTTCAACTTTTCAGCTATTTTCAAAATTCTTTGAATGGTTTGGAGTTCACTTCTTTGGAGACCCTTAATCACCCCCACAATGATAAACCTAACGATTTTTTTTAACAAAAAAAAAAAAAAAAAAAAATCACAGAACAAAATGGTGCCTATGTGATTTAATGAAATGCTTCTGTACTACTTTATTTGCATTTGTTATCAAAAAGGGACAAAATTTTCCAGACGACCCAATATATTACACTTGTACTGATTCAAACATATGATAATACTGTACTTATACATTTTTTAATGCAGTATTACCCAATACCGAGTTAAAAATTACAGTTGCATATAATTGATACAGTTGGGTTTACATATAAAACAACCTTATACATTAAGAGCATTCTAAAAGCTAATTAAATGATGAAATTATATTCTGGATCACAATTTAATTTTTAAAAAAATATGCATCTACAAAAATTTTAAGAATATAATGGGATTTTACATGTGCAGGAAGAAGATAAAGATGAAAATATTATTAAAAATGAGTAGTAATTAATCCAAATATTGAGAAAACAAGTTCTAAAAGGATTACATGTATATGATATATATATATATTAAAAAAAAAAACACGTTTCTAGCATACAAACATTGAACACTGTCCTGCAGAAATTAAAACCAGTCATTCTTTAATTGCTCAGCCGAATCACTCATGTTATGAAACAGTTGCAAACCGTACCTTTATTGTCTCATCGTTATATTTAATTGAAAAAAAGTCTGGAGATCTGATAGGCCAAGGAAGGATTAAGGCAGTACACATATTAAAGAGCTTGGCTGCAATCAGTGAGGTCATGTTACTTCATCTACTGCTTTTAGAGCGATGGTCACAATTTAGTGAACACCGAATGCATATATTAAGTCATATAAAAAGTCTCCACACTTTTTTGCCACTAGATGGTGTTGATGCTTATGTATCCGGCAACACTTACATGATTGTCTCAAATGAACACGTGCTTAAAAGGTGATATTCAGCTTCCATTATTTGTGAAGATAGTTTTTTAACTTGTTGCTCGTGTAAAAAGCTATATGAATTTGAATATGAGTGAAATATCTGAAGAAACACATTATGTGATTTTTTTTACTATAAAAAAGGTAAAAACGCTGCAAAAACAAAAAGAAACTTGATGTTTGGGTGCCACATGAATTAAAGCAAAGAAATTTGATTGACCGAATTACCATCAGTAAAATGCTGCTGAAATGCAATGAAATCGAAAAATTTTTGAAGCGAATCATTACAGGCGATGAAAAATAGATTAACTACGAGAATATAAAATGCAAGTGATTGTGATCAAAGGCTGGAGACCCTCCACAAAAGACTTCAAAGCCTGGATTGTCGCAAACAATATTCTTTTGAGTGTTTGGTGGTATTGGAAGGGAATTGTCCATTATGAGCTACTGAAACCTGGCAGAACCATCAATTCGGACCTGCAGTGTACACAACTTGACCATTTGAAAGAAACAATCACAAAGAGTGACCAGAATTGATCAACAGAAAGAAAGTTGTGTTCCATCATGACAACACATGGCCACACACACACATCTTTGATACTTAGAACATATTGATGGAACTTGGTTGGAAAATTTTGATACACCCACTGTATAGCTCAGACTTTGCTCTGTCTGATTATCATTTGTTTTGGTCTGCAAAACTCTCTTGATGGTAAAAAACTGGCCAACCAAAGCGCTGCTGAAAATCACTTGGCGAAGTTTTTCAATGATAAACCGCAGAAGTTCTACACCAATCAAAGTATGAAGCTACCCGAAAATTGGCAAAAGGTCATACATAATAATGGTCAATAGTTACTTGATTAAAATTGATTTTCAATAAAGAAAATTTTTGTTCAAAAATGTGCCAAAAAAGCATGGAGACATTTTATATGACCCAAATATTACAGAATCCAAATAGAATTACTTTTGTAAAATCTACTATAATATAATGAAAAAATACCTGTTTTTTAACCTTATTCAGACTAGCAAAAGGTGCTCAAAATACGCAAAGCAACAAATCCATACAGTAATTTTTAAAAAGTTATACTGTCTTCAATAAAGGGGGGATGCAAGGATTTCAGTATTTTACTATATATGTAGGCATGAAAATAACTAGCTCAGTGACTTAATACAACAAACCAAGATTACTAAACTAGAAAAATGCAATACCTTTGATTCATGAAATTAAGTAAACTTTTCTATGTAATTCTGTCAAATTTATTTAATCTGAGATATTCTATAAGTCAAACTTTTCTATGTAATTCTGTCAAATTTCTTTAATCTGAGATATTCTATAAGTCAAACATTTTTCAAATATCACTGAAATTATATTCTTTATATTTTTGTTTTCCTGACAATCCAAAATAAGATATCTGCAAATATCTAACAAGCCAAACCTTCTCCAAAGAGTTTTTAAATCTAAAGTAAATTATATTCCTGAGATTTTATGGATCATTTAATTAACCGTACACATAACTTGCTCTTATGAGCACTTAAAAATGCACTATCAGTTTTAAGGCACATTAAACATGCAAACTAATTTGGAATAAAGCAAAAATTAACTCTTTACAATTATATCCTGCATTCTAGAACATTTAATAATTACATAATATTAAAGAAATTAAAATATAGTTTTAATTGCTTTTGTTGCATTATTTAAATTAATATTTAATTAATGTTCCTGCTGTTTAAAGGGGAAAAAATATCAAATGTAGAAGAAACATCAACTTTTATTTTTTATTTTTACACAGCAATAAGTTTCCCAATTCTCTATCACAATCATGTGAGTTCATACTCTACATACACCATTTTTTTAATAATTGACAAAATTTGACTGTAATTAATATTTTAACTTGAAATTGAGAAATGTGATATACAGCTACTATATATTTTGCCACATACCACATTTTTATAGTTTGCTAACAATTACCATAATTAAATATCAAAAGAACTAACCTTTTTTTCATACAAGTCTGCCAAAACACTGGCTGCTTCAAATTTGACATCATCAAAGCTGCTTATCTGAGCTAGTTGAGGATAATTAATGAATTAGATAATAAAAGTACTGCATTTAAGGAATATATTTATAACTTAAAAATTTGACCTCAGTATTTATAGCTTGAACACTTTGTTGATCCAACATTCTGTCTATGATTTTTGCAGATCTTTCCCCCTCCCCTTTAAATTTGAAGACACTTTCAGAAATCACCGTCAAAGAAACTGCTATCAAACTACATTTCTGTACTTCATGATCAAGTTAGAATGCATGCAGTTCCATCTGATATTAAACTATTCAAAGATGAAATGAACTAACAAAGGTTATCCAATGACCCATATGCACCACAACAAAAAATAAATTTAGCATCTAAAATGAAAAGTACAGCAACCTGATTCCAGAATACACTACTTAAAAATATGCATGTTAATATAACATGCCCTGTATACCCGCATTATTTAATTTATAGAGGTCATATAGACAATTCTCAAAATATTAGGCTTTAAGTTTACAGAGATGTAAAAGCAATATGTATTCTGTATAAACAAAACACAAAATTCTGAATTTTAGTCTTTTTTTCTAGGTTAGGAATACCATGCATATGATATGATATGCAAACATATAATCAAGTATGTGACAGATTGCTTGCTAGCTGCACAAAAAACACATAATGAAGAGATGATACAAATTATAAGGGCATAAAATCCCGTGGCAATGTATGTCAATATATATCTGCTATCTTACTACAATCATATTCTTAAATATGCTGTCTCCAGTTGTACTGGCATTGATATGTTTTTCAATTGTTTCTTCATTAGATGTATGAGGTTTAAGAAATAATAAAAACTTTCTGAAAAGCATAGACAGATAGTAATACAAATTTGTTGGATGGAAATCAAATTACATTTCTAATAACCATATGAATTATTACTATTATAGCAGGATATTAACAACAGTCAAGTTTGCAAAGACTAACTATATATAGGGGATAAAATTGTTATGTAATAAAATTATAAAACTTTGAGAAATTTATATTACCAAAACAGGAGAAATGGCATCGAAGATATCCAATTTAGAAACTTTAAGAAATAGAGCTCAATTAAAATTTTACTTGATGCCAGCCAAATTTCTTAGAACTGATAAGATACAAGCACCTTCAGATCTTCATGAAGAACATAAAATCCTCAATAAGTCTGGCCAACTGCTTTCTAGCAGCTATTCCTCAAAACTGTTGTTAAGGAATATTATTCCTCAATACTGTGTTGATTGGCAAGAGAAACTGATCAGTTTACTATTCTCTCAAATTTTGTCACAGAAAAAGTATTCAGCACTTCAGACATTTTTTAGGTCTAATGCACTTTTTGCTATGTGCTTTAATGGAAAGTACTCACAATATGCTTTGTTTTGCTTTCAGTATATTTCTTATATTTGCTAAAGCAACAAAACTGCTATTGTACATATTAACTTTTTCTGTTTTCTTATACGAACAATTGAGTCTATTTACATCTTTGTACATAATAAGCAATTAAAATACATGCACTCTTAACTGCTTTTTTTACAGGTACAAACTTTGAATTCTTATCTCTCAAAACATATTAGATTATATATAAGCATGAGTCCACATAAAAAAAAGAATTAAAAGCAACATCTGAAAAGTTAAAAAAATAAAATAAGTAAATAAAAGAATGAATACCAATAAATTTGGAAGTCATACTTTTAACAGTGGAGGACAAAATTTTTAAGAACAGATAAGACATCACATATTGGCAAGTCTTCAAAAGCCTGCTCCGCAAAAGGGAAAGCAGTTTTCCTATACAAATGATCAAACAGGCCTTTTTCAGTGTTTTGCATGTACAGTATGCAAATATTTCAGTACTTTACATGTATAGCTTGCATGTGGTCTGGTGCTTGCTAGGTGTTCAAACTGATCCTCTTTCCAATAGTTATTTTCAGAGTAAAAAATTAAGATATTCCAATTAAAAGAAAAATACCTTAATTAAAATTTAAAATTAGGAAAAAAAGCAAATTTATATTGGCATAGATTTTGGATTAAAAATCTTTTGAGTTCTAATAAAAATCTATGCCAAGCTGAGGTGCCTCTTGCCTAATTTTAAATTTCACGTGCACAAGCTTGTCTTTCAATTATATTTTTTATACACTAACCAGCATTTTCAAGAACCTTTTTTCTGTTTCAGAGTTTGTCTCTTTGCACCAGTTTTGTTATTTGGATTTCTCATTCATTGAGGACGATTTTATTTTTCAGTATCATTGAGGACGATTTTATTTTTCAGTAAACAGGTGAGTTTTGCATTTTATTTATTTATTTATTTATTTTTTTAAGAATTTTGTGATATACTCTCTATTTGATATTTTTATTTCCCAGTTAATGCACCATAGTTTAGCTGCATTACGAGTATTGCTTCGCTGGAATTTTATTTATTAATTTCTCTTATTTTGAATGTTTTTTTTCCCCCCGTTTTTTTCAACATTTTGGTATTTTAATCCTTCTTCTCTTTTCTCTATTATTTCATGCTTTTTGCTTTTTGGTATTTGCTAGCTTTGGGTAGTTTTTCTCCCCCCCCCAATTCGTTTTACTTAACATACCATCAGAAAACAGTCATTTTTGTAAATTATGCCTTGAATTTTAAACAAAATTTATGCCAATATGAAGTTGCTCTTTTGCCTATTTTTAACAATATATAGAGTTTCTGTACTTGCAAATCAGTTTGTCAAAAACTAGAGATTGGCTGTTCTTTACACAAGATCCAATTAACCAGGAAAAAGCATTTCTTGCATGTTTTTTTTTCTTTTCTTTGTAATTCTGATACATGACACCTACATTCATCTCTTCTATTTCCATACAATATGCAGTTAAATACAGTTCTTACAATACAGTATTCATATTGAAATAATATTTAATAAATGACATTAAAATAGCTTTATTATGGTTCTAGCTATATGTTACATTATTTTTGCTCAGTTGTAAAATAATATAAGCTTTCTAAGCATAATTAAGGTGGTATAGGTAAGATTATAAATTTCTGTAGGTTAGGTATATAAGATAAACTTTTATTCATAATATTTTCAATTCGTAATGGGTTCAACAGGGCAAAACCTCATTATGAGATCAGTAGCACCTTGCAGATCAGAATCACAGCATTTTGGGGGGGAAGTCCCTAATATTTTTCTTTTATTTCATTTTTAAGATATTTCCACCAATCATCAAGACATTTATTTTGCCAGTATAAGAAATATTAAAGTCCTCTCGAATTCCTAGATAAAAGAATTTAAAATATACTAGTAAACTAATTATATATGGCTGTAAAATGCAAATAAAACTTACAACTGCTGTTTGTCTATCACAAGAACTACTAATTGCAGGAATAACTATAATAAACGGCCTTGTACATTTCAAGTAGGGGCGAGTCAGGTAACATTTTCTACTGTTATTTTTTTTAGTTGAATACTGGCCACAGAAAAAACAAAATAATATTATAATGAGTATTTTACCAACTTCCCAATTCAGTAAGTTTTATTCTAAATTCATTATTAAAAACAGTAAGATGGCAAAATTAAACACATTTTTTCATGACACTCCCACACGGAATGGGTTAGCACTCATTTCTATGAGCAAGAACCAGCTGAGGACATTATACCCAGAGGTTTTCTTGTGGTAAACAAACAGTATCAAACTATATCATATAATTTTATATTATACACAGCACTATTTTAATTTTCCTTTAAATAAAAATTCTAAAAAAATTTTAAGTACAAATATAAATATATGCATATTATGTAGATATACAAAATACCAATAAACTCCATACCACAAAAAAGGCAAAATAAATGTTTGTGTTTCTTTAATACCACTTGAGAAAAAAAATCATAACAATTAGAAAAATAAAATTAATTAATTAAATGATAAAACAGATTTAATTCTGCAAAATCAAAGAAAAAGAATAAATCATCAAAATTTAACTATTTGTTCGCTTGAAATAAAACACTAATATTTCATACATTATTAAGAAACTGCTAACTATTACTTCTAGTAGCTTGAAAAACACATACAAAAGGATACATTTTGGGATAAGTACCACTGTAAAGAAAAAAGAAAAAATACAATTTTTACACAAAAAATTTTAAAAAATCAGATGAGTATCAAACAAGACATACATATAAAAGAAAGTGAAACAGGATCATGAAAATCTACTTCAATTACAATACTGGAATATTACAATACTGTCGCCATGCCAAATCAAAAATCAGCAACTTTTGCTGTTTTCTGTTCCATGCACAACATCATGGAACACCAACTTGAATCGCTTCTGAAACCGTTAAATTCAACCATAAATGGATAAAAATGCTTTTATACGTAGCGTATTCGGAAACTAAGTACCGTTTCATTCTAGCGCAGTCGCAGCGCTGTGGTAGGCGTCCCGCGCATGTGCACTAGTCTTTCTTGTTCACTGACTTTCAATTGTCGCCATTTTGGTTGCTCTATGTTATGTTTTCAGTTTGCTGTGCACATTCAAAATGTTTAAGACAATTAGTTTTCCCGCTGACTGTGAGATTCGTGCCGTGATTAAATTTTTGAACACGAGGAATGTAAACCGGCCGAAATTTATCGTCAAGTGACAGAAGTTTACGGTGAATACGTGATAAGTGATGGAATGGTGAGAAAGTGGGTAAGAATGTTTAATGCAGGTCGAACAAATGTCCACGTCGAGGCTCGGAGTGGTCGGCCTTTTGTTGTCACCGATGATTTGGTAAGGAAAGTTGATGAAGCAATTCATGACACTTCACAATGACAACTCTTTCAGAGGCATTTCCACAAATTTCACGTACTGTTTTGTTCAAAATTGTGTCTGACCGCTTGAATTATCGCAAACTGTGTTCCCAATGGGTTCCAAAAATGCTCACTGATGTTCACAAAACAAAGCGACTTGGTAGTGCCCTGACATTTCTCACGCGGTACAGTGATGAGGGAGAAAACTTTTTAAACCAAATTGTGACAGGTGATGAAACTTGGGTGTGTCATTTCACACCAGAATCGAAACAACAATCGATGGAGTGGAGACACACTCATTCTCCGAAAAAACAAAAGTTCAAAGTGACAATGTCATCACAAAAAATCATGTGCACTGTCTTCTGGGATAGGAAAGGCATTTTGCTTACTGAATTTCTTCCCAGAGGTGAAACCATTAATGTGGCACAATATTGTAAGACTTTAACAAAACTAAGGCGTGCCATTTAAAACAAAGAGGAATGCTCAGTAAAGGAATTGTGTTGCTCCATGACAATGCTCGGCCCCATACTGCTGGTGTCACTCAATTGTTAATTCCACAGTTTCATTGGGAGCAGTTTGATCACCCGCCGTACAGCCCGGACTTGGCGCCGTCCGACTATCACTTGTTCCTGCACATGAAGCGCGAGCTTGGTGGCAAGCGCTTTGGATCTGACGATGACACGAAAAATGCTGTGGAGTCGTGGTTATCGAAACTGGCGGGAAGTTTCTTTGACGATGGTATACATAAACTGGTCACTTGCTATGACAAATGTTTGATCATTGGCGGAAACTATGTTGAAAAATAGTTTAAGACATGTATTTTCATGTAAAAATAAAATTGGATTCGAAAAAATTGTTTTACTTTTTTTTTTTTTTTTTTTCAAAACGGTATTTAGTTTCCGAATATGCCTTGTAATATACTTCGAACTTCTCTTTTTAAATATTGGATGACAGCATATCACAAGGAGACCCAGAATTTTCATTTATGATGTGTTATTAAAACCCACTTTTTTTCTAGTAAATTTCTTTTTTTTTTTTTTTTTGAGCTACAAAAAATTTGTTTGAAAAAAATTTCCGTATAATTTTGATGGTTGTACTCTATATTATTTGTTACATATTTTTTTTACATTTTTCATACAAAAAGCATGCGCAGAATCATTGAATAAAACGGGGTGTTCCATTAGCAGGAACACTGCACCTCCATTAGCAGGAACACTGCACCGTTAGCAATCTCATGCTGTTACGCATGAGAACATCTGTCTTAGGAGAAAACATCTGTTGTATATGTTTTCTATTTCTGTTGTTTTGGAGGGGAATGAATTCAAACAAAGCAGTTTGAGGGGTGAGGTGTGATTTGTGCTATGAAAGCCCTGATATGGGTATGTTGAAATTTTTGTGAGTAGTTTTCAGGCGGGAATTTTATCAGTAACTTCGAGTCATCTTTACTTAGGGGAAGCTGCGCGAATTTTTTGCTGTCGCTTTTCAGTCTCATTGCCGTTTATTTACAATAAATGTGTAGATATTTTTTGTGTATGTATATCTTATAGCTTATTTTTCTTTATTGTTAATATTAATTGCAGTTAATTTTTTATTATTAATTTTCCATAAATGGCACAGAGAGGTCTAACTCTTTTCTAAGCGCTAAAAATACTTCATGAATTACCCTCTGATTCTGAATCAGAACATGAAGATAGTGCGATACTGAGATATACGTTCCTCAAACACTTGTGTAATTCGATGATGATATGTCGGATGAAACTCATTTATTTGATGAGAAGATTGACAATCCATCTCACCCAAGCCCCTCTACACAGCCTAAAGTTTTTACCTGGAATTCTAAACATATTGTTGCACGGAACAAAAGTCGCACATAACAAGTTTTGTGTTCAAAATCTACACAGTTGGTTTGCGCTTCTATCAAAAAGATATGACATGATTTGAAAATTTCACGAAGTTATGAAATCAAAAAATTTCTAAATATTTTTGTATATAGGACTTGTGTGCATACATATATTTATTTATCTCATTTATCCATATATATTCAAGAAAGTTGTGTATATGCAGAAAACCATATATAAAGCTATAATAAAGTGCTTCTTCATTACTATACATAAGCTTCTGCTCATTTCCGTGCTTCTGCAATGCTCGCTTAGTCGCACTTTTAAAAGCTCTGGCGGCACAGTGTTCCACATCATGGAACACCCACAGAATTGAAACGGTAAGTGCAATTTTTACAAAATTTTACCCGTATACTCTTTTAGGCCTAGATAGACTGCATACAAATTTTCTCGTTGAAATACCGACTTTAAAGTATAGTGCACCACAAAGGGTTAAAGCCTTTAAAAGTCTTAATCTGGCCCTGGTTACATGTATTTTCTGCATAGATTTAAAATTTTCTCACAGAATTAATATGTAAATTAGGTTATGCAGAAATTATATTCTTTTTTCAAAATAACATACGTATCAAGATCTTTAAAAATCATCAAATCTTGTTTCCTAAAAACAAGCATACTGCAAATTCGTGGTTTATGACATGGTGGCTCCAATATGATAAGCTATCCACAAAGAGCAGAAACTAGGGTTAATTGTTCTTGGTATGAAATCGAGATATTATAAATGATAATGAAATTTTTAAAAAATTATGGTTAAATTATGGCATCTAAAAGGAGCACCATGTACTAAAAAGTATTCATTATATGATGTGCCTTTTAGAATTCACCAAATCCACTAAATCTTCAATGCTTATTACCTTTTCTGAGAAAAAGGATGAAGAATCATTCATTTATTAAAGATAATTAAATTTTGAATATTTTTATATGCAAATGAGCATAAAGATTTGGTTTATTTGAAGAAAAAGTTTGACAAGTTTGCAAAAACGTACAGCACAGGTTGGTGTACATTTTTAGTAAAAAATTTTAAAGTTATACTAGGGCATGAACAAATTTGTTAATTAGCGCATTCAACAAATCAATCGTGACCCAGATGGTACAGTGGTTAGGGAAGCCTACTACCGTACCGAAGGACCTGGCTTCGAATCTTGGGTTAGACTTGGATGTTTGTAAATGTATAGTGTCGGTGTGGCATGGTGGCGCTCTAAATATGCGGCAAGCTGAAAAGTCCTCTCACGTGGATTTGTGGGAGACACTTGGAAGCCCCCCGGGTGCTCTCCCTCAAAATTGGGGTTGGAAAATAGAAGATCAACCTCTCTTCGGAGTAGGCTCTGACAACCATTGTTCTATGCAATATGGACAACAACAGTAAATCAATCAATATGCAAGAATCGTTCATTTAAAAGCAGTGATCAAGTTCAGCAGGTAAGCATTTTTAGTGCAATTAACAAATTTTGTTTTAAGTAGTAAATTTAGCCTACATTATTTAATTACAGCAAAACACACCAGGACTACTTGCTTATGGAAATGAATGCTTTTGTAGGGTATTTTCAAAGTGTCATTTGGAAAGCAAAACTGTATTTTCATCATTTGAACATACAAACAGCTTTTAAAATGCTGTCTTCGAATCTCTGTTGTCAATTTACTTTCAAATGAATTTCACTTTTACATTACAAAAATTTGAAATAAGAAGCAAATGAAATTACTGCTAGCTTATGCTACAAACATGTTTCTCTCACTTAAATTAATTTTCTCTCTTTTTTTAATACTCAGCTTACAATAAATTGTTTGAAAACAGGTTTTGAAACAACTAAATATATACATACAAAATCGGGTGTATTTGATCTTACCTCTTAACTTTTTCTATTCACTATATGCACAAAACTCCTTATATAATCTATATCCATAAAATCTAGAGGCTCACTTTCAGTTATATTAATATAAAGTAATCTAGTGAAATACTTAAAAAGCAGCTTATCTTATTTTAAAAAAATAAAAAATTTCATCCCTTTATTTGTACACTGAAAGTTTTCCTATACACACCATAGAACACAGCGAAAGAAATAATTTTTGCAAAATGTAAAAAATTATTAAATAATAACTTGAATTAAATTTGAACATGATTTCTGATCATGCAGATTTGAAAGACAGTTTTGAATTTTCTGTTATAAAACTAAGTAACAAAATTTGGTAGATTGTCAGTTACAACAATACCCATACCTCCTTTTGACAGCCAGCATACTTCCGTATGAAATAACAGTCTTTTATATTCTGTTCCCAAATCTTCACAAAGGGCCTTAAAAAGTTGAGTATTTAAAGCACCCATTTTAATACGATTGACATGATACAAAATTTTAAAACATCAGTGAGTTCATCTGGAAGTGTCTTAGCTACCAAAGCTTTATGGTGCACCAACACAGA